AGAAGGGGCCTTAAGAACAGCCAGCTTACCATGGAGAACCAAGTCCACGGGCCTATGGGGCGAGAGCTCCGTGCCCAAACGCGCCTCGATCCTGTCGATGGCCTTGCTGAGGCCCCCAGACACAACGAACGAATCGAAGGTGGAGGGAGGGCCAGCAGGAAAATGAGTGGGGGCCTTCGGATCCACCATCGCAGCTCGAAGTTCAGAGACAAACCGCGACCCTCCGATGTCGGAAGGCTCCATGTTGAAATCTCCCCCAAGGACCCAAGGCTTGCCAGCCGTGGAGAGGCAGAGCCCCAGGCTGGAGAGGATCTCCATGTTGCGGTCCGACAGGCCCTCCGAATGGTGGAGGTAGGCCGGCGCCGCCCACATGGGCGGGCCCCAGGGAGCTCGAACGAGCAAGCCACGGCGCGCCCACGACGCACCTGGCCCCCAGGAGCGTCCAGGCAGCCCATCCAGGAACGCACGAAAATGGCGACACCACCAGACGAGTCATTAGCCTCCGTGGGCGTAGCGGGCGACCACGCGCTCTTCCAACCACGGCGGAGGCTCCAGGCGCTAGCCTGATCGATGCCTTCCGCCCGAATCAAGCGGTGCTCCTGACAGAGCAGAATGTGCGCATCAGTTCCCTCAATCATACTCTTCATGCGGCCCACGAGTTGCAACTGATGCACTGAATCCTGAGAGGCACCGCGTCGACCTGGACAGGAAGACCCGAGGCGTGCGACCGCGCTTCCAGCGCGGTGGGGGGTGGGGCCCGAAGCTCCATCACCCTCGCGTTCTGAGGCAAATTTACGAACAGATCTGGCAAAAAGTGGGGACGATGGCGGCTGCTGCTCAAAGCAGTCCGTCGCCCCCGTCGGCACCGATGGGGCAGCGAGAGGAAGCCGAACCATCGTGGCGCAGCCAGGGGGCGCTTTGGCCAGAGACATGACGGGGTACACGTCCCTGGGCCGAGCAAACGAGATCGGAGCCTGCTGCTTGAACAGAGAACACTCATTAGAACAGAGCTGCTCTGGACAGAGCAGCGTCCGCGCGCGAGAGCAAGCATCTCCAGCGGACGCCAGGCCGCGCACGCTGCGAAGAAGTCAACCTCGAAACCTGAGTGCCCGAGGAGGAGGCGAGGAGTAGAGGCATACCTCGCCTGCGCCAGAGAGCGACCTGTGCCGAGGAGCGGCACGGCCCTTGGAACAGAAAATACTCATAGCCCCCCTGGAGGAAAACCATGAAAGAGCCAGGACACATCCAGGATGACCCCGCAGCCCCAGACGAGACGCCGAGGTCCAGGTGCCCAGGATATCTAGGTTCCTCCAGGGGGGGGGCGCCTCAGAAGCATTGCCAGCGATCCTATCAGCCCTCGCCGTCGCACTCCGCCTGGAAGGGGTAGACGACGCCGCCGTAGGACCCGAAGCTGTCGGAGTAGCAGCCGTCGAAGTAGCCGCCTCCGCGCCAGCAGGAGCCGAGCCGTCGTCGGGCTGCTCCCCAGCGCCTTGGGCGCGAGGAGCCGCGTCTCCACCAGCGACACCTTGACCCTGCTCCCCTGTGCGACGCTTCTTGGCTGCCATCCTCGCTGCCAACTGCTTATGTTCAGCTTTGAGCTCGTCGACCTTGGCCTTCGCCTCTGCGAACAAATTCTTTGCCATGTCCGAGATGCCAGACTTAAAGAGTTCCGCTCGCGCCGATAACTGCTGTAGTTCTTCAGGCGCTAGTGATTCCTCATCCTCAACAATCTTGAAGCAATCTCCCACGTCGAGGTCGAAGGCCGCCGAGAAGCGCTGCTCATCCAGCAAGTCTTCGAGGCTGAGCTTGTTGCCTGGAGCGCCAGCTGCAGGCTGCGATTGACCGTCAGGGAGCTGATTGTGCAGCTGCCGCACCAGTCCGCTGTGCTCTGCCTCCGCGGCTTCCAAATCCGCCCTGAACTGGAGCACGTGGGACTTCTGTGCTGCCAGTTGCTGTTCGAGCTGCTCGAAACGGTCCATGGCACTGTTGAGTTTCTTCTCCACTGCGCGAGCCTGCTGGTGGGCACGGTTGAGCTTCGTCTGCAGGGGGACCTGGTGCTGCTCTGGCGCCTGAAGCGCCTGAGCCGATGTGCTGTAGCCTCGAGTACCGTGGAGGCCACCTGCCTTCTCGCACAAAGCGGCCATCTGCAGATATTCCTCCACAAAGAGCTTTGAAGACGGAGCAGACGCCGTAGTGTTCGAGCCTCCGTCACCAGCCGAGCCCTTGCCGACGGCACCTTTGCCTCCACCGGCCTGAGAGCCCTTGAAGAGCTCGAGGGGCGACTTCCCCGAAGCCCATGCGCCACTGAGGTATGTAGACTCCGACTTGAGGCCACCACAGTGCTTACAGTAGTAGAAGCGGTGCTCGTTGCGGCGACATCCGCACAGCATACACTCCCAACGGGCAGGAGCAGCATGAGGAGCACCGCCTCCACCGTCACCACCATGGTCTTGAAGGCCAGGGACGAGCGGGGGCCAGACCTTGGGGTCGCGGGGCCTCGGCGGGCGGACGGCGCCTTTGCCCGTCCCTCCTCCATCGGGCGGAGGGGACTGCGACCAACTGCGGTGCCACGGCGCCCATGAGACCACTCCTTTACCGCCTCCGCCCTTCCTCGCCATGGCCTTGCCGAAGAGATAATCGTGAAAGCGTGCGGGTTGAGATCCCGCGAACTGAAAGGAAACCACACGAGCCAATCTGGCTCGCAGCAGCTATATGCCGTTGTGAAGAGAAGCTGCTGCAAGCGCAGGCACAACGCCTGAGCCACAACGGCTGAGGAGGAGGAGGAGGAGGAGGAGGAGGAGGAGGAGGAGGAGGAGGAGGAGGAGGAGGAGGGGAACGCGGGGTACTGTCTCTTGAAAGCGAGGACCCAACAGGACACGGCATGAACATAAACTTTTGGAGGTCCTTGCGCATCGCTTGGATCTGCGCTGGGGCCTGGCGCGCGGAGCGCGCCAACGGCGAAGCCGGAGGCGCCGCCAGGGGGCGGAGCTTCGAAAATCATCCGCGCGGAACTTCGACAGTTTACGCTTATGCCGTTTTTCTTCTGTGACTCTCCTCTCCTGGAGGCATCCCAGATGGGGCCTGAGTACATGGGGTCGAAGGATCGCGCCGCATCGCCAATGCATCACCGATGTATCACAATGCATCGGCGACGTCGGCGACTCATCCGCGACGTCGGCGTGGGGAAAATCGGGCTCCGCATCGTCGATGCATCGGCGATGCGGCGCGATCCTCCGACCCCATCTACTCGGTCCCATGTAGGAGGCCTAGAGTTGATGCAAATGACAAGGGGTGGGCCTTCTCAGACGGCTCGGAAGCCCCACAGCCTTCGGAGAAGTTTCCCAATCCTTCCTTCTCCGAGAACACAGAACACTTTTCAGGAGGCGCGAGGGCCTCTGAGAAGTCCCGCCGCCTTCTGAGAAGGCCTTCTCATTCTCGCTTCCCCCCCTCGCGCGCCGCCGAGAAACACTGTGGCGACTGGTGCCGACGCTCGCCGAAGCCGTGCCCTCGAGCACCCACCGGCTGTGACACCTGCGTGCTCGTCGTTCCCCTCGGGGGGGGCCCGCCGTCACTCCCGCTCTCTGCGGGCTCGAGAGCTGCTTGTCTGTCAGCCCGCCTCCCGCGGGGATGGTGCGAGAGGGGATCAAGGCGAAGATGTAAGACGAATCCAGGACGAGGATAAATTTCGGGGTTGACAAATTGAGAATTTCTGAGAAGTCTCGCCGCCTACTGAGAAGGCCTTTTCCTTCTCGCTTTTCCCCCCTCGCTTGTCGCGAATCCTCTCCTGAATGGCCCCATTCCTCAGATGCCCCGCCTTCGTGCGCATCGTTTTGCCGACCCCCGACCCCCATGCGCGTGGCCTATGGGCCCCACGGGCCGACTTGCCCTCTCAGATGGGGGCGTGGGCCGTTTCCCTCGGGTCTCGAAGGGCATGCCCCCACCCAGACCCCCTCGCGTTGTGAACGATCACGACGGGACGTTGTTCGCCACTTTCGGCCTCTGGGGGCCCTTACCGGGCCTCGGGACCGCCAAGCAACGATTCAGGATGCAAAGGGCGGGCCCCAGGGAAGGCGTCCAGACCTCTCTCGGGGTCGACGTTGCGAAACAATCACGACGTCGGGGATCTGGGGACAAGGATGGGAACGGGGATAGGGGTCGTGTCAGCGATGCTGACTGCGAGGGCCCCGATCCCCGACGTAATTCCCAACCTAGGCTCTGCCTAGAAGGGCTCTTACTCTGTCTGCTTAAAGGGCCGGGCAGTGGGGCACGCCCCGGGCGGTTCCCCCGGCATCCGCCCCGCGGTTCCCCCAGTAGCTTTGCCTAACCTAGCTTCGCTTACCCTAGCTTAGCTTAGCTTAGCGTGGCTTAGCTTAGCTTAGCCTAGCCTAACCTAGCTTAGCTTAGCATAGTTCAGCTTACCTTAGCATAGCTTAGCTGGGCTTAACTTAGCTTAGCTTAGCTTAGCATAGCCTAGCTTAGCTTAGCTCACCTTAGCTTAGCATGGGGCAGCCCAGCATTAGCACAGCAGAGCATAGCATAGCATAGCCAAGCATAGCATAGCATAGCATAGCCCAGCATAGCATAGCATCGCATAGCATAGCACATCACAGCACAGCATTGCTTAGCATAGCACAGCGCAGCATAGCATAGATGTAGATGCAGGTGTAAATGTAGATGTAGATGTAGATGTGAGTCTCGCTGTTGATGTTGATGTAGATGTAGATGCAGGTGTAGATGTTAATGTAGCTGTCGATGAGATGTAGATGTTGCTTTCCTAGATGCTCCAACTCCTAGGTAGGGTCGCGCTGGGATAACGTGTTTTTTTTAACGTCGACCCTCGGAGGCCTCGACCCATTCCCCCGGACAGGTTTTTCATCCGGAGTCGTTTTTTACTCTCCCGAGCCCCGGCAAGGGCCCCTGGAGGCCGAAAATAGCAAAAAACCTCCCGTCATGATTCTTGCATTGCCCGAGGGGGTCTGGGATCTTCGCTCCCCCAGGACCGCCAGCAGCCGCAGCATGGCGCCGACGAAGGTCGCCCGCGCGGCGCCCGCGGGGCCGCCCACGGGCCCCAGCGGGCCCAGCTTGGGGGGGGGCTCCCCCCCGGGCCGAGCGCGCCTGCAGGGCCTCACGGCCACACGGCGATGGCAGCGGCGGCGGCGGAGTTTGGGACGAAGCAGAGGGCACCCATACACCACCAGCCTTCTCCTCTTCCTCCTCCTCCTCCTCCTCCTCAGCATCATCATCATCATCATCATCATCATCATCATCATCATCATCAGCAGCAGCAGCAGCAGCAGCAGCAGCAGCATCATCATCATCATCATCATCATCATCATCATCATCATCATCATCATCAGCAGCAGCATCAGCATCAGCATCAGCATCAGCAGCATCATCATCATCATCATCATCAGCATCAGCATCAGCATCAGCATCATCAGCATCAGCATCATCAGCATCAGCATCAGCATCAGCATCATCAGCATCATCATCATCATCATCATCATCATCATCATCATCATCATCATCATCATCATCATCATCATTATCACCATCAGCATCATCATCAGTATCATCCCCCCTCCTCATCCTCCTCCTCGTCTTCCTCCTCGTCCTCCTCCACTTCCTCCTCCCCCACCTGCTCCTCCTCCTCCTCCTCCTCCTCCTCCTGCTGGCAGTGGCTCCTCGTCCTCCTCCTCCTGCTGGCAGTGGCTCTTCGGCCGAGCGTGCCACCTCCTGGTGCGTACTGTGAATGGGGCAAGAATCGCCCCCTCCTTGGATCCGCTGGGGGGAGGTTGGGCACGTGCTGTCGGAAAGGGTGGAGGGTGGTTAGAGGGAGAGGAGGAGGATCAGGAGGGGGAGAAGGATGGAGGGGGGGCGGGATTGGGCATGCTCAGTCAGAAGGTGTATCCCCCCCCCCTTGACAAATGACTCATATCCAGAATACCGCAGGCCGCCGCATCACTTCGTGCTCTCGCGCCGTGTGGGGGGCGCGACTGTCTGCGCGCCCTCGCGCTGCCCCGCGGCGAAGAGCAGCCCTCCAGGCCGCGCGCCCCCAAAAAACGACGCGGGGTTCGCCGCGCTCCCTGGCAGGTGACGCTCCCTGGCTGGTGACCCGCGCATCGTGGGCTCATACCTCCTCTGCGGCCTCGGCTCATGAGAATGAGTGCCGGCGGTCTCTGGTAGACAGTGATACGTCGCAGGAGGTACGCACCAGCAGGTGGCCATCTAAGATCTGCGCGCATGGCTACTGGCCGAATCTCACTGGCTGACTCGCTAACGATGCCGAACGGTGCGAAGGGGCACCAGAATACAGTAGTTGCCCGAGCTGTCACGCCGCTGCGAAACCTATTTGCAGCCCATCTCTATTCCAAGCGCGACATCGTCGTGCTTATGTCGGCTACTTCACCCTGATCGTGCTTCTCTGCGGATGGCTTCGCTCAACGACTTTCCGAGCGAGGCCGTCGCAAGGAATTTTGAACACGCTTATGCCCCGAATAAAGGGCAATTGGAAACAAGCAAACACACATGGTCCTGCAATTGCCTGTCCACGTATGCCGTGCTGGAGCCAATCCCAAGCCATCCAGGCATCTCGTCCTTACCAGCGGCGCTGTCCTATGCACGCGGCGCGATATACAAAACAAAGCAGGCAGCACACTGAGACATGCCATACAAGACAGCAGCGCGCGTGTCTCCCAGGCATGTAAAGGAGAGATGCAGCCGAAATCAGTTCGTTCGAACTCCCCTACAGAAGGGGCGTTGACCTAAGGAGCCCTAAATAAGGAACGGGGCCTCTTTTTCCCATAAGTTTGACTTCGATTTCCCATCGAAACCCTAAGCAAAACCAAAGGCGAACTGCAAAACAACTAGGGAACACCGAGCCCCTCCCCAACGAAAAGGGTTCCTTCCTCAGTGCCCCGACTGTATCCTTTCCATGCCCCGTCCGCACTCTTGTCTACAAGACGAAGCCCATTTTCGGCCCCCCCAAAGCACCAGCGTGCACGAAGAGAGCTAGAGGAACAACCACATAATGACCCATCGAGCCCCTTTCGTGCCCAAACTGTTCCTTATTTCAACGTCTTGACTGTACGTTGGCCCAACGAGTGGAATCTACACATCCGTGGAAGACGTGAGCGTTGGGCCAAACAACATCTGGCAACATGTCGAAACGGTAGATTTCCGAGGCACCTAAAACCAATCGTGTGGTTTCGTGGAAACAGTTGTATCACGAACAGAAGATCCAATATCCAGACACACGAGACGTGCTGAGAAAACACATTCTGGGCAAGAGCAGTCGGGCATATGTCACCACACACGCTCCTGAAAACAGATCAGGGGAAGCCAGAGAGGCCCCCGAGACCCGAGAAACGCAAACGCAACGTACGAGACTCACTGCTCCGCTGGATACCTCACGAATTGGGTCCGAGCAGATGGGGTCGGAAAGCCGAGTCGCCGAGTCCATGCATCGCCGCTGCATCGGCGACGCCGGCACTGCCTCGGCGACGCCGGACCCACATTGAGCCGCACCGCCGATGCGTCGGCGATGCTGCGCGAGCCCCCGACGCCACGGGGGAAACCAAAGGGTGCCGATGCCGCTGCCCCCCGGACCTCTCCCGGGGTGCGTTCTGACCAGGACTTCGAGGCGAATCCCGCGGTGGCGGCGAGGGCCTCCCGGGAGGCTCAAAAAAGGGAAAACGGGCGCGGCATGGATACCTCTTGCTCCTCTGACGATCCTTCGACACAATCTGCTGCTTCGACCCACTTCGGGAGGCCTCGGTCCACACGCGCCACAGAAAACAAGGCCACTGCCTCGGCATGCCTCCGGGACGCTACACACACACCGCTCGAGGGCGGGAGCTCTGGACATGATAAGGATCAGCGTAAGTCGGGCATGTCCCTCTACAGGAGGAATATCCAAGAATTGTCAAAAATAGTCTGGTGACGATATTATTTTTGAATATGTTCTGACTATTTTCATCATTCTGCCAAAATCCGCCTGGAGGAGGACATGCCCGACCTAAGGATAAGCGTTTCGAGCCGAGCTCGGCCGCGCTGGCGCGGAAGCACCCCCCGGCGATCCCGCAGTGAGAGGGTCAGCGCAAGAACAACTCCCAGACCTACTCGAGCTGTGGGACGATCACGACGGGAAGGTTTTCAATATTTTTGGCCTCCAGGGGCCCTTACCGGACCTCGGGACTGTCCAAAAGCGGCTCAGGATGAAAAACCTGTCCAGGGGAAGGGGTCCAGACATCGGGGGGTCGACGCTGTGAAGAAAATGACGACGTCGGGGGGCTGGGCCTGCGTGCACCGCTTTGCGCACGCTGACACCCCGCCACTGGGGCTGGCGACGAGCGCGTATCAACTGGGAGGAGGAGGAGGAGGAGGAGGAGGAGGAGGAGGAGGAGGAAAGGGAGGAAAAGGAGGAGGAGAAGGAGAAGGAACGGGAGGAGGAGGAGGAGGAGGAGGAGGAGGAGGAAGAAAGGGAGGAGGAGGAGGAGGAGGAGGATGAGAAGGAGGAGGCGGAGGATGAGAAGGAGGAGGAGGAGGAGGAGGAGGAGGAGGAGGAGGGGGAGGAGGAGGGAGGAGGAGGAGGAGGGAGGAGGGCTTGCGACGAGCGCGCATCCGCTGGGATGCTGATGGACAGGGGCTCGTCGGATACGCAAGCAGGGGCCCCGTGGCTGGCGGGTTCCACTGTGGAGCCGTCGTGCCGCTCCTGGTGGATCTGACTGATTCGGAGCTTTGTTGCTGCGGGTGTCGATGACGATGGCACGGTGACTATGACGACGATGACGATGACGATGACGATGCCATCATCGTCATCGTCATCGTCGTTATCGTCATCGTCGGGGTGGGGTGGGTCGGTGGGTAGCCGCATGCTGAAATACTTGAGGCCAGGTGCAATCACCGCAAAACATGCAGACACCGCACCTGCAAGGTACCGTTTCCATTTCTGCTGATCGACGCACCATCTCGCCCACTACCTGGGAAAACGGCGCTGTTGCAAGCAATGCTCTGTGGTCACAGCAGCAGCGGTCTCATCTGTCAAGCAAACCCTCACAACTTCCCACCCACTGCGCCCATTGCCAGTCCTTCACTGCGCGGGACAGGATGTGCAGCTGTGCTGGAACCAAGCTTGCGGCAAACGCCTGCGAAAGGAAAAGTTCAGCATACTCGTCTCGAAACAGTGGTACAGGAGCAAAGGCCTGGCGCGGGGCCGTGATGCGACGATGCTCCGCAATGCATGGAAGCATAGGATCGGAGGCGACGACAGTGGCGAATGGCCCAGGGTCGGGCATCACACGCATCCCTCCTGGAGCCACGCCGAAGGCTTGGACCGTCGGCGCCCCTGGATACATATACTGCTTCCCCCTGGGCCTCGGGCTATTCCCCTCTATCGTCGTCGTCGTCGTCGTCGTCGTCGTCGTCGTCGGAGTAGGAGGAGGACGACGACGAGAAGGAGCTGTTTCAGCTGTTTCGCCTCTCGCTCCCCGCGGGTCACGACGAGGAGGAGGATGAGGGGGCGGAGGAGAAGGAGGAGGAGGAGGACCTTCTTCACCTTTCCTTAGATGGGACCCCTGAGTGCGAGCGCATCCCCACCATCCACCTCACTTGCCAGGGAACTCCATGCCATACTTAGGCGGGAGTTCCCTACTCATTATATATATATATATACATATATATATATATATATATATATATGTACTCAGGTTCTGCCTCCCTGTGGCAGTCATCTCGGTTGGACAGGGTTTGGCAAGGTCCACAGGATGCTGTACACAAGAATTCCCACAAAGCTTGCAAAACAACATGCCCCGAAACATCCTTAGAGAATGGGTCGGATGCAACTTGGCCAAGAGGGGGTGTTCAGTCACGGCCTCCCCTGGTAAGCTCCAAGCAGAGCTGCCCGCGGCGACGGGCCTAACCTGCACAGCGGTACCCAACACAGCGGACCCAGGAGACAGGGGATGCCTAAAATACTCGAACTTGCCCTTAATGGCAGGGAACTTACAAAAACACCTCTGGCACATCAACTGAACTCCTGCTTTCAAAATGTCGTGCCCCTGCTCCAGCAGTCTGAGTTTCCGCTGGTTCAGGGACGTGACTGCATGTTTGATTCGGTGCTTTTGTCGGCCCAGGCGATCGTATCTGTGCCTCACACACGTCAACACGACTTGTCGACTGATCGCTAAGAGCCTTCGGAGCACTAAAAAGCTGCGATGGTCTTCCTTCTCTAATTCGCCGATAAATTTAACATCTAGGGCCCCCCAGCCCGCGGCAACACCTGCAAACATGTCTGCCACAGCATTCGCAACAAGGCTGCGGGCGTCGGGGCGGTTCTCGCGGAGATAACGCTCGGTGGGGTTGCTCTTGATCCAGTTGGCTGACACTGCGCCGCCCCTGGAGCTGAGCTGGTCCCACACTTCTTGCCATGTCGAGCATAACAAACGTGTCAACTGGGGCTCGGGGTCCTCTTTTAAACGCATCCACTGTTAGCTTGTAGTCGATGCAGAACGTGATCTGGCCAGCAGTGAGCCGCAACAGAAAAAGAATGGCAGTGAGTTCAGCGCGGGGAGAGCTCTGATGGGGGCCTGCCAGGGTACCGCATATCACCCCATCCACTTCCAAGGGCCCAGGTCGAAGACGGACGACACATCACCCACATCGCTTCGTCTGCCAATCCTTAGCACTCTCTCCTCCAGGCCCATCGGTACCGAAAAAGCCGCCCACGATCGGCCTATTGTCATTCAACGCGTCCAAGAACGACCCCCAAGCCCAAACTGTCCGAGTGGCTTCGGGAAGGGGGTTCAGAGGCCAACCAGCGGGAACGAGCCCACGGAGCCAGAGACACAGGGCGTCAGTGGCTCCTTGGCAGGCCTCGGAAGCCATGCCTTGAGCTTGGGCCACATGGGGATCGCCCAACTCTCGGTTGCGAATGCATTCCCAAAACCGATGCATAAGCGTCTCTGCCGGGAACCCACGTCTTGGCCACAGCCCGCTCCAGTCGTATCCACCATCCTTCAAGCGCTGCTCAGGCCACTGAGCTCCGATCATGAGGTTGTGGGAATGCCTGCGCCTTCAGCGTCTCCGTCTTCGTGCAACTGCTGATGAAGCCGACGGTACACGGTGAAACCAACAGCTCCCTGCGAGACATCTCCACAAACATGTTCGGCAGCTCTGTGCCACTGCTGATCAACAACACTAAAGACGACAACGTGCCACGGGAAAAAACGGAAATCTTTGCGATCGACCCGAACGATGCCTTCAGGAAGCTCCCAACGGGTAGGAGCCCACTGTGGTAGCAATAACCGCACACGCGGGTCCTCAGGCTAAACGCCACGCGTTCTCGGGCCCAGCTTCGCGAAGCTTGCGTACAAGGGGGGCCCATAGTTTGAGGATGTTCAACTGGAACTTGTCATCGAGATGTGGCCACAGATGCCCCCACTCCAAGAGATGTTCGTACCTTAGCTTGTGCCCTGGGCCATCGTGCGCAGCTCGCCCTCGCGCCAAGAGAGCAATGGCGCGCGCTCCTGGGCTCCACCTGCCTGTGGCCTTGGCGGCCTGCGCTCGGAGAGGCTGCGCTCTGGTTGGGCAGGCATGCCGAGCCCCTGGTGAGATCGCGCCCCGACGGCAACGACGGCTGGCTTGAACAACCTGCGTGCCTTCTCGTTGAGGGCGGACGAGAACTCAGCTTCTTGGGTCTCCTCATAGCTTCTTTCTTCTTATCATTACGCTTCCACATGGTACGCCTACGCCCAGCAGCGGTGCCAACTCCAAGGTCTTTAACGGCATCCACGAATCCCAGGGAGCTTCCTCTTCCACCCCTCCCTCTTCCCCTTCGGGGAGGGGTTTATCTTCCCTATCAAGAAACGCCCCCTCCCTACCCGGCCGGCAGCCAACCTGGAACCATGCGCGTACCAAGAGGCCCCCCCCACCATCCCTGTCAAAAACAATAGGAAATGCACATTGCGGGGCCCACCCTGCCAACACCCTCCACAATCCCTTTCAAAAAACAATGCGAAGTGCACATTGCAGCAAAATCTGGAGTGCGCTGGCGCCCTGTGAGCACGTTGTAGTGTTTTTTGATAGGGCTGGCGGGGCACCCTGTCTGTAGCACTCAACAGAACCACCGAAGTCTGAACACACGAAGTTCCAAACCAAATATGCAATTGAATAGAATGTGATCGATAAGATCCGCTCGTAGTTTATATCAGCTCAGGGGCCCCTACGAATCAGTTTGAATAAAAATAGGCAGCGGGCGCGCACACACCTACACACAAGTATGTACCGCAAGCAAGCAAGCAACACACACACGTGCATGCTAGCAATCATTAAATCATGCGTAGCTACTACATTGGAACAGATTCTGTGCCATTGACTCAGGGGAAAGAAAATAAGCTTTTAAGCCCCGATTCCTCAGTATACTACATCACACACGCGCTGCCATACCTAAATCAACTCAAGAAAAATCAGAAAACCTGCACCGTGTCAACTACAGAGTCGAGAGATGTGCCCTGGTCTCCTGAATATCGTAGGTCCCGCATACGATGACCATCACCACGCCGTTCATGAACCGCTTGAGCTCGCCGGTCGGGAACCTGCCGTGAACTCGTCCGTCGTGGTCACCGTCGGCTCGTGAATCGACTTTATCTCCTGAAACCTCGACGTGGCTAGATCTCGTCGATACGTACACTGTGACTGAGTGTTCGCCGACCTCATTCGTTTGGGCTCCGGCACGTCTCGAGCTCTCAGCGTCATCTGCCGTAACTCGTTCTTCGTGTTATTCAGCTGCCGCTCCAACTTGTCGTTCGAACCGTTCAGCGCCGACAGCCTCTTGTAGCACAGTCCAAGCTCCTCGTTGGCGTCCTGCAGTAGCTTCTCGGTCTTGGTCAGCTTCTCCTCGTATGCCGCTAAGCTCTTGCCGCGCTGCTCGAAATCCGCCATCAGCTTCTCCATGTCTGGCTGCATGTCGACTATCTGCTTGGCTCTTTCTTCGATCTTACTCCGTTGCCCTTCGTTCTTCTCTTTCAAGCGCTCGATCTCATCGGCTTGCTCACTCATCTTCGTCTTCATCCGCATGTACTCGGCGTTGTCGTCTCCGCGTGAGGCTGGCGTGTCTCTCAAACAGCGTTTCGCCTCCTCGTTCTTTGTTTTCCAGAATCGCTCATTCGCCCGTTTGATGTAGCACGTTACACACAAACAACTGCCGCAAACCAGCATCATCACAACCAGCGACATCGTGAGCACGGTCACGTAGATCCACTGCGTCTCGTTGATGTCCAGGCTTGGGCAGGTCTCCTCCGCTTTTGTCGTCGTAGCCGCCGTTGTCGCCACCAGCGCCGCGAGTCTCTGTGCTGTCCTGGTCCCTGCCCTCGTCGCTCTGACCATCTCTCGCGCTGGCACTTCATCTGGTGTCTGGTCCACCGCATTCGCCTCGTCGAAGTCGGCCGCCGCGTCGTTTAGCTCCTGCTCGTTATTGTTACGCTCTTGCTGGCTGACCTTCTTGCCTGCCGTGAACGTCGCGTCGTACTTCAGCGCGTGTGTCATCCTCCTCAGCTTCTCCACGAACTGCTGCCGCACCTGCAACTTAGTCAGCCCGTCCGCCATCTGCTGATGTGTATTCGTCCATCTCCACACTCCGCCGAACTCCTTCATCTTCTCGTTCACTTGCATGATCTCGATGCCCGTCCTGCGCTCCGTCAGGCCACCGGCTGGCGCCTGAGAATTGGCTGCGTCGTAGAGCGCCTTGCAGTCTGTGATACACGGGCTTCGCCCTAGCACCTGCAACGTGTCCGGTCCCGTCAGCTGCATGTTGGGGTAGAGCACCGTGGTCAGCATCGTCTTCGCGAACTCCAGAGCGTCCACCGCGTTGGCCGCCGCCTGAGCCTCCCCGGCCAGAGAACTCCTGCAAATGCGAACCAACTTCTTGCTCGTCCAATCGATGATAACCAAAAACGTGGCCTGGCCGTCGTCGATCCTGTCGTCCTCGATCGCGAAGATCATGTAGCCTCCTTGCGACTCGCCGTTAAGTCTTGTTGCCCATGAAGCGTCCCAGTACACTCCAAGTCGTAGCTGCTCCCACTTGGACACGTAACGAATACGGATGCCCACGTCGCCACTCGCCTTCAGGAACCGCAATGACTTGTTGGCCTCCAGCAAACTTCCAACCGTGGCTTTGCTCACGTCACCTTGGGCAAAAGAAACTGTCGCCGCCGCCTGCACCATACACTGGGATGCCGGCCACTGCATAGCTCCATTAAGTCCTCGTAGCTGGCTGATCTCCTTCGGCGTGCACAAATCGTCCGGGTGCAGGCGGCGTACCTTCTCGATGCTAATCGGCTTCACCTTGTGGATGTACTGCTCGGCCTTGACCTCGATCTCGTTCCTTGACTGCGACTGCGTGGTCTCCATACCACAGAAAACGATACCGTTCTGAAACTCCCACTTGCCGAACTTAAAGCGCCTGCTGAGAGTCTGCACCCTGTCCAGGAACGTGCCCTCGTAGGCCTGCTTGTCGGTCAGGTCGGCCTCGCACTCCAAGTTCTCGCCGCCACCGATGAAGTCGTCCACGTGTAAACCCAGAATGCCGTCCAGTACGTAGTTCTGGCCGTCGTCTGCGCTCCACACCAGAAAGGGGTCGTCGCCGTCGGCCGCGATGCGGTACGACAGAAAACAGCACCGATCCAGCTGGTGTTGAAGAAATCCGATGTCGATCATGGCCTCCGTGATCGTCTGATTCCACTGCCTGGGAGCGCGAACATCTCCGAAAGCTGGCTTAAGCATCTGCAATATCTCGTCATCCTTTAGGCCCATCATCTTCGCCAACCTCCTTCGGATGTCCTTCGTCGGTCTGCTGAAAATGCGCACTTCCTGCTCACGAATGTCTTTGGCCTGCAGGAATGCGCTCTTCACGTCAGCTGCCACCATCTTCCACGACTGCTGGCACAAGATGAGCAGGATGAGGTACCTCGCGAGCCTCGTCAGAGTAGGGCTTGCCTTCTCCACGTTGGTGCTCGTCACCTCCTCCAAGTGAAATCCTTGAAGAATCACTCGCGCATTTGCCTCTCGAGCTCCGTCCTTCATCTTCCACTTCAGCAGAAACCTCATCGGACACACTTCGCCAGCTCCCGCCGTCGCCTCGTTCACCGCCTGCCACGCCTGGTTCTCGATCCAGGGTAGCAGTGCCTTGGTCTTGGCCTCGTCGAACTGCACCTTTTCGCCGGCGTGAGCCTGGCCTCCACCACCGCGTCGCGCTTCGCCGCGTTCGTGAGGTAGATCATCTCCTCGTCCTCGTACAGCAGTAGCAGCTCGTCGTCGCCTGTGTCCGACTTGATGGTCTCCGTCTCCATCGGTGTTATCCTTGTCTTAGCCAACGGTTTGAGCCCGTCGAGCCGTCTCGCCGCGTTAATGCTCTCCAGTAACTCGTCCCTGTCGTCCACCTTCCGCTTCTCCACTATGGCCTCCGGTTTAGCGTCCTCTTCCTTCTCTTGGCTTGGAGCTTCGAGATGAGGTTCTCGCCCGCCATCGGCTTCCGGTAGATCGGCTTCGGGTCGAGACTCGGCCGCCGCTGACTGCGGCTGCTCCTCCTTCACCTCGCGCTCGGCTGGCTCGGCTTCTTCGCTGCTCCTCGTCCTTTCGTCGCGATGAGCCCACTCCTCGACTGGCTCCTCCACCTTACCGTCAGTGTCCACGCCTGTAGCGTCCACGTCCATGCCCTCGGGCCGTCCGTCGTCTACGCGGTCCTCTGGGTCCCCGAGCGCGTCGCCGACGCAATCCTTGTACTTGATGGAGCCGGTCGCGTTCTTCAGCCTCCTGAGCAACCTCTCCGCCGTTGACAAGGGTAGACCGGAGTCATCATCTGCCTCCTCGCGTTGTCGTCGCTCCTCTGGTAGCTCTGGCCTCAGCAACTCGTGCGTCGTCCTGAGCAGCGTGTTGTTATGCACGCACCAAATGACTGACTGCCTCAGCTTATCGGGGTCGTCCGTGTACTCGACCTGCGTCGCCATCGCCGGTCCCTTCCAATAGCTCTTGATCAAGTCGCTCTCGCCCTTATCGCGCCTCCAGAAGTAGACGTACTCGCCGATCTGGAACTCCTTCGCTGAGGGTCTGTTGCGAGCCGCTAAAGCCTCTCGCACTGCCCTCGACATATTCGCCGCGAAGTACGCCTTGGCCGCGTCTCGCCTGCGACCCAGATTCTGGTAGAATCCCTCGTCGTGCTCTCCAAGATCGCCCATCGTCGTCGGCTCGTCCGCCATGTTGCCCAGATCTCTGGGCTGCCGTCCGAGCGCACGCTGCGCTGGAGTAAACCCTCGAACGTTGCGTAGCCGATTCCTCATGTCGCACGTCACTCGCACCGTAACCTTCAGGCTGTCGTCTGGTCGGTCCTCGTGATACTTCGCGATCTGCTCTCGTCGTACTTGGTGATTCCTTTCAAGGATCCCGAGTCGATGATGGGCGTCTCTCGGTATGAGCTGCAATTTTATCTGCCGCGTGTCGCACCACTCCGAAAACTCCTCACTCACATGCGCACCACTTGGATCAGCACGAATGCGCACTGGCACACCAGCCCAATTGATCCAATTTTTCTCGATCGCCTTTATCTCGGTCTTCGCTTTTTCGTCTGGCACTACCGTGTCGACCTCGTATCGCGAGCTCTCGTCCATAATCGTAATAATCAGCTTGTGCTTCTCGTTCCACTTAACGTGAAAAGTGCCTATGTCGATCGTGTCGTTGAAACCTCTATCTTTTGGAATCCTAGCGATCCGAACTGGTTTAGGCCTCTGCCGTTTCAAGCATATCTCACAACTATAATTCCGCGCGCAGCTTGCCAAACGATCATCCGCGTTCATCTCCTTGAGTGCTGCTGCCAACGCTTCGCTCGATAGGTGACCCATCTGCACATGCACCTTCTCAACCCACTTGACCTCGTCGAGCGTGAACTTCTCAAGTCAATTATTCCAAACTTCTTTATACTCGAGTCAAACTCTTCTTGCGTCATCTCCTCTACGGCGTAGCTTGACTCGTTCTGCGGGTCGTCCACGATGCAGATTGCCGCCTGAAACGCCATACTCCTCGGGTAGTTCTCCACTCCGCGCATGTTGTGAGCTCCTTCCAGCATAACGTGTTTCTCCTTACAGCTGCAACGCCTCCAGAGTCCCTCGTGCATCTTGTACTTGGTCGTCCGCGCGTTCGTGGGCTTCTTGATCGGACCGATCCTGCGCCCGTCGCGGTCCAGCGCCTTCAGCCCGTGCGCGCACTGGTCCACGAACGTGTCGTATCCTTCCATGTCCTGCCAGACGTCCTCGCTCCACGACGTCGCGTACCTGGGATGCTCCAAATGCGCGTTCCTCTCGTTCTTCTGCTGCTCGTCGTAGATGTCCCGGCTGAACTTCAGAAGCTCTTTCTTCTGCTTCTCTCGCTCTCGTCTGCGCTGCTGCCGATATCTGTTGTCCTTACTCGCGTCGTTCAGCGTGTTGATCGAAGACCACAGCGTACATGGCGGTGAAATCCAAACTTCCTCTGGCCTCTCACGTCGTAGTTCTTCAAAGAACGCTTCGCGATGTGACTTCCTCGTATAATCCCAGCCAGTGTCCAACGTATACTTGTCCGTTTTGAAGTCGCCATGCTGCTCGACATACTGTGAAATGCGTCCCTCATTGACGAAAATCTCCCAATACTTGCGTTTAACTTTAGGTTTCTCGTCGAGCGTCCTGTTAACCTTCGTAAACCAGTCCTTCAGCTGCTCGGCGTCGAAGTTCGTCGTCTCCGCGTCCTCCTTCTCCTCGCCATGAGTGCTGGTCACGTAGAAGTCTATCTCCTCTTCGCTCTTGACCTCGTGATCTCCGTCCGTGTCGGCGTCCGTCGAGCTAGACTCCTCTTTGATCTCCAGCGCGTCCTCCGGAAAACTCAAAAGGTCCAGGATCATGTGGCCTTTCTCGTTTGTCTCGATGTCGCTCCACGTCTGAGGTACTTCGTCCAGGTACATCGCCTTCTTGTTGCGGTAGTCCACCACGATGCCCCATTCTTCGAGACACGGCCGAGCCACCAAAAGAAAAACTTTTCCCGGCACCAGGTCAACCGTGATCTCGCGCTTCGTCTTGCGAACCCAGACTGGGAACGTAACCATCTGCTTTGCCGTCGCCGTAGCGTCGTTGCCGAACCGGAATGTCTTCTGGCACCGCTCCGTCGTGATCTGGTCGGCCATGCCCATGTCCGTCAGCTTCTTACGCCACTTCGGCCATTCGTCGAGTCCCATGACTGGCTTCGTAGCTCCACTGTCGCCAACTCCTTTGCCCGTAGCCAAATTCCCTTCTTCGAGTGGTAATCCGTGCGCCGTCTCCATGCTTGGAGCGATCTCCGTGAACTTATTGTCCGTGCCGATCTCGTACAGCATCTTCGCGTCCTCGCCGCCTTTGGTGGGTGCTCCATCTCGTCGCCGCTTGAACCTTGGTCCGTGTTGCTGCGTAGATCCCGTATGCGTCGTCTTCGGGCTGCCGTCGAAATGCTTGCCGCCCTTGCCACCGCCGAAGGGTACTCGTCCACCGTATCGTCCTTTCTGCTTGCCCTTCTGCGCGCCTCTCGCTTTGCCACTGCTGCTGCGTCCTCTTCCTTTTGGCGGCCTGGCATATCCAACTCTTGGAGGGGGTAGTCCACGCTTCTCGTCGATCAGCGCCACCACGGGGTAGAACCCTCGGGACTTCGCCAACTCGTTCATCTTAGCTCGCGCCTCCGCATACGCTGCGTAGGCCTCCTCGGTAGCCTCGTAGGCGTTCTCGAGATCCTCCGGCACTTCCTCGTCTTCCTCGTACCATTCGTCATCTTCTTGGTATTCCTCATGCGGATCGTACTCGTCCTCATAGTAAGCATCATCATCTTCTTCATAGTAGTCTTCCATCCAGTAGCCTTCCTCTCGACTGCCTCGTCCGTGATAAGTACTCCTCACGCGATCGATGTCCTTCTGGTGCGCCACGCTATCGCCTCCGAACATCGTTTTCAGACTCTCCGTGACCACCTGCACCGTCAACCTGTTGTTGCACAGCGCCTTGAGGTTGGGTACTTGCCACTGGGGAATCGCCGCCCGCGTCATCATATGCCATCCTGCCAGTAGGTCTGGTAGCTCGAGTCCAGCTTCGCGCAGCTTCGTCAGCTCCTTGCCGTGCCTAGGTACGTACGCGTTGAGCGTCTCCTTCGGCTGCCGCGCGAACTCCCCGAAGAATCCGTCGCACCTTCCTGGCAACTCGACCTCCTGAGTGTACCTGTACAGCACGTCCAACTTCTCAAATATCTCCTCGAATGCCTCGGCGGTGTCCATCCTCTCGAAACTTATCTCGTCGCAGGCGTCCCACGCGTCGCCCTGCAGGTCGCAAGGAGCATTAGTAGGCGTCCTCACTAGTCGCTACTGCGCGCCTCTGGCCGCTGACACAGTACAAACATTGGAAACACACGTGCGCTACTCCTGCTCGAAAGTCCTGTTACGTCCGTTCTGACTTTTGACCAGGTTCTCGGTCGCGTACGACGTGCAGCACTTCGCCAAGGACCCCGCGCTCGCGGACGGGGCTGGCCGATCAAGTCCGCTCGACCACCTTCTCCGATAGGCAGTCTGCTGTCGTGTCTGGTACTTCCTGCTCCTCGGCTCCACGACGTTCCTCCTGCTGGCCGCGTCCGCGTCCAGCACCGCGTCCACGTCCAGCGTCGTCACCGCCACGCCCTTCACCTTGTCCGCGTCCCGGTCCTGGTTGACCGTTGGGCCGCATCTCTCGACTCTGTTGGGAGAGAATCAAGAGCGGACTTTATCGGTCGGGCCGTGGACCTGGAGCCGTTGGCTCCGCTACCAATGTCGGTAGCACTCAACAGAACCACCGAAGTCTGAACACACGAAGTTCCAAACCAAATATGAAATTGAATAGATTGTGATCGATAAGATCCGCTCGTAGTTTATATCAGCTCAGGGGCCCCTACGAATCAGTTTGAGTAAAAATAGGCAGTGGGCGCGCACACACCTACACACAAGTATGTACCGCAAGCAAGCAAGCAACACACACACACGTGCATGCTAGCAATCATTAAATCATGCGTAGCTACTACATTGGAGCAGATTCTGTGCCATTGACACACCCTTAGTGAAGCCGCTGTGTGCAGGACCACCATCCGTGTCAAAAACCATACAAAGTGCACGTTGCGACAACGTCGTGGGTATTGTGCTGGCCACCCGCTGTCACTTTTTGTTGCCTTTTCCGACAGGGACGGCGGTGATGCCCGCATGATGATGCTTGCTGTGCGCAGGCCCAGAACAATGCTGACGCCCCCCACATTAGCATCTGGACCATGCGGACGGGGGGGCATCACGTTTGTTACAAGGATGGCACACCAACCGCACGTGGAGCCCGCGGCGAGCGTCGCGCACCTGGCATCCGCTTTGGTGCCGGTTGGCTGTGCCCCCAAGAGGCGTCCAAACTGCCTCCAAAAGGCTCCCGAGAGGCCTCCCACGAGATCCCAACGAACATCCAGTGGGCTCTATACCCACAACCCATGCACGGTGGCAAGATGGGCCGAACACCGCCAGATAAAAACCGAGACCAGTACGTTTGCGGAATGTGGCCTGCACCGTATCCGCATTCGTCCCAAACGTTCCTCACGGTTGCACGGATGGAGGCTGGCATCTTTTCGAAATCGGGATCTCGCCGGCAGCTTCCTGAGCAAATATTGCCACACGTTTGTTCTTGTGTAACAGCGGCGCGGATGCGGGCCAGCTCCTTTTCAAGCATTGGTTTTCGACAAGGGCCTTCGGAGCGGAGCTCCCACCGGAGTGTGCGGGCCCAGGGGGCGCCCTCATCTTGCAAGGGATCCGCATCGCGCGGTGAGCAAGAGTGCTTGTGCGGGCTCGTGGGGAGGGGGCTCGAGACGCTCCCGCTTCTCCTCGCCCCCTGGAAGGGGCTGTGACCCACTCTGGGACGCCGCTCCCGAGTTTTAGGAACCGGATGGGCCAGGCAATAGGGCAAAGCCTGTCCACGGCATCACCCCGCATATACGGGCTGCCAGTTGGGGCCTTCCCCGAGCCAATGACGTGTCCCCTCCGACCCCTTCCCCCCCCCCACACACACACACGCACACACGGGACCTTGAACTCCGTAGGACTGTCCACCTGCGGTGGGCGGTCCGCCCGCTCGTGGGCCTGGAAGCTTGGCCAATGATCCTCCTTTTCTCCCGTCCGGATTGGGTCCTCCTGGGGAACAACGGCGACAACATATAGGACTCTGGGTAGCCTTCGCGAGATCGAACCAACCTCTGACACCCTCGCGCGACGGTAGACTGTAAGTAAACCATGATAAGAACGAAAGAGGCGCC